AGCTTTCATACAGCATTATTCAAAAAAAGCTGTTTTTCTCGGTGTCACAGCCGTGGGTGCTCACGTGATCCATCATTCCCAAATCGCGACTATTTTTCCGATGTTACCCTTTGAAGTATACACCTGATTCCCAAAATTAGTTATGAATGACTTATAGTTCAGGTCTCAGCCACTGTCCGAGGAGAGTCCACCGTGACGACATCAGTTGGTGCGCTCTTCTATGACCGGTTAATGGACCAACAGCGCGCTCACAAGTAACAGTTGCTCATATTTGTAACTTTTTTATGTTCTCAGCGATCTTGCCGTTTCGTTAGTCGGCCTTTTTTCAATAAACTTTTTCCAGGTTCTTCGAGGGTGATCCTGCATTGTCGTTTGGCTCTTCAGCGTCAGATTCAGCAAAGGTGATGACGAAATTCTGAAGCTTGCGATTTTATTCCATCATAATTGTAGCTTTTTACGGTTTCACAGTGCTTTCCATGTGAAGATGTCACATCTGGGGCTTTCAATTACTCAGAAGCTGTGCGTATTTGAGGTGGGCCAACAAGGGCTCTAGAAATGAAGCTTCAAAAGAGCCATAACGATGTATCATATTCTTTACCTAAAAGGGCATGACAGCGAACTTTGAGGCTTGTGATTACTTAGCAGGGCACATCATTAGTTGGGGATTTTAGCTGAGTCCGTACGACGCCCCCCCCCTTTTTTTCAGGGGGTTTTTGCGACCAGATCTTCCCAAAACTTTTGCTGTCGAGCAGAGGTATGGGGGGAGAGGGGGAGTTGGTATATAGAGTATTTAAGGAAATCTCAGGAAATCAGAAGGCAAATACGGCTCCCCCTCCCTTCATAGTGCCCCTGAAACAAGAAAAATCAGCTATCAAAAAACTTTTTCCTCGGGCTGAATAGGACCCCCTCCCCAGCGAATCCTCTATTGGGGAGTCCCCAACGATGATGTGCCGTGTTGCTCAGTTTTACTGTCTTCGCGCGTCACTAGATGCGCCTTACTAATGACACTGGGAGAAAATATTTCTGAATAGCTGAGTGGGGGCAGCTTCCCTTTTTGACCGAGTGTCGAGATTCGCAGCAGTCCCAGACTCACCTGAAAATCCCAGACACATCTGGGAACTTCCGAGTTAGCCGCAAAGGCGATTTCTCCAAAAATCCACTTTTCCATGTGAAATTTCTTCTTCCAGGAAAGGAATGTGGTGGGATGTTGACCTAGTTGGGAGAGCTCCTGCATGGGCAGACATGGCAGCCGTTTTTGTTGTTGATTTGATCCATCAGGAAACAAGAGTTTTGGAGAAGCGTAGCAAAGTTGAGCCGTTAAAATGGGCTCTGTGGAGAATGTACTTGATCACGGTAAGTTATTTTTTCAGAAGTTATCCAGCTCTAGAAAACTTTCTCTGGACTGCTGTTGTTTCAGAAGTTCGACACATCTGCGTTCATCGCTCAGAAAGAACTTCTACGGCTTTGTGCTAAATGGACTGAAGAGCAAGCTGCTACGAGGCCGAAACCGGGTCCACCTGAGAGAGGAAAAGGAGTTCAGGATTACCGTTTTCTTGGCACTGCTAGAGCATGTGACATTGTCAGTAAATGATGTAATTACAATAGATGGTAGATTAAAGTTTTCCGATCAGTCACGATTCATCCACTACCTCCAATGGCGCTGCGCCAGTGTAAGAATTTCTCCTACTAGTCGTTGTTTTCAAGTACTCATATACTTGTCCCTACTTTGATGTACGTGAGAGTTTATTTATGTTAATAAGTCGTCATCAGGAGGTAAACTTTGATTGTTTTCAATCATGAGCTGGCCAGTCATTACCGAACATTACCGCAAGAGATGAGAATAGAATTGACCATCAACTGTAACCCGTCAGTTGTTGTAAGCCCTCATTGGCTATAACAGTACCTGAGTTTGTAGTCCTCTCCTTTGTAGTCAGTCATTCGATCTCCTCACTTTGTTGTCATTATTCATTTCCAATCGCTGTATATACTGTTTTGCGGTCTTACATTATTACGTCTAGTGCCATAGCTTTAAAATTTCAACTGTCCGCTTTATCATCCACTTTAACCTCTAGATTATCACATATTGTGGCCATTTTATTTGCACGTTGAAATTTCTATGTTGGGGTACTGGCGAAAAAAGCTATTCAATACTTTTGTTCACGAGTTTCTAAGGCTATTTTATAGTATTCTAAGACTATTTTATATTCTCACTCATGATAAGGAGATCAGAGCGTTAACACGTGATTTATTATTGATAAACATGGGATCGCCCGCTGTCGCCGAGCGCTCCTGATCTGTGACATGGCCCGGCTTCGCCGTGCGGACGCGGATATTCTGC